ATTAAACTATGTCGAGGTCTGGAGCAGAAAGTACGGAGCAAAGATTGCTCGAGTCCCTCTCGTTAAAATTCTCAAGCGACCAGTTGCAATTGAGAGAACCTCACGTCGTCATTGCATACTGATGGTCGACGCAAACGGTCGTGTGTGCAATTTAACGACTGCCGGTTGAAAGGACCGACTCATTACATCCCTGTGTTGTTTAATAGCGAGTTGATGCAATCCGCGGCATATCGCTCGCCGATTTATTAATCGGCATTTTTCAGGACCGCGGCCTGCGAAGTGCGCAGCGGCGCGAGCATTCATCAGCGAGGAAGAAAGCCGGTACTATCAGATCGCCCGGTAGAAAACGCAATAGCGTCGTAATTGCTCTCGTACGTCAATGACACTGAGAGATCTCACTGCCACTCCTCCTCTTCATTATATACGCGGATGATCATAAACTTCGTGGGAGCACAATACGGCGAACACCTCCCGTGACGTCCGCAATGTGATGTATCTATATATGTCTAGCGAAATTCCAGAACCGCAATACTGTAGGATCATGTGTAATCGATAATAAAAACAATTAAAGATGATACATAAATTTTCCAACTGAAGCACAAACCAATCAAAATATCAGCCTAAGATGACAAGGGATATTTTGTAGGGAATACTTGATTGAAATAAGAGAAGACGCTGAGAGAATGATATGTCGATTAGAATTAATATTTTGATAAAAATAGAAATTTAATTAAGATTCTAAGGGTTGAATTTGACTTGCTGTTTAAGAGCGCAAACTTGACTCTTTTCGTCTCGGAGAGTATCACGGATGTTCAGTGATCCGTCGAGCGTCCAGCATCGCGGGTCGCTCCGATTCAGAAGAATAACGATATTTCGCGGCAGTCGTGATCCAGATCTAATTTCTCGTCCCGACGGTGGAGGAAAGCTTCTCTCATTACGCGCCGCGCAACGTGAAACGGAGACGCGGAGGAGCTGCGCCAACGACAATTACAAAGGCCAGATATAATACGTGCAAAACACCGATGCTGCGGGTCCGTCGTGCAAAATTCTGAATGCCCAAGTATCCTCTTTCCTCGAACCTCTTAGCGCTACTTAGCGGATCCTTTTACGGGACAGCGGACCCCGACAAGAAAGGAAGGCACGACGTACGGCCCGACGAAGGGTCGAAGCAAGAAGAGACGAAAAAGACGAGAGGGAGCCCGAGGAGGCGCAGGACGAGGAGGAGCGAGTAGGAGGAAGCGGGGGAGGGCGGGCGGAGGTGGAGTACCAAAATGGCGGAGCGAGCCGAGGGACAAGATAAGCCTTTGTGCCCGCACGGGGGCCCACGGGGGCCCACGGGGACCCACGGGGGCCTGGGGCAACGGATCCCGTCGTCTCGGTCTCATATTTCGCGAATCCCGCTATCATATTTTACTGCTCGCCCCCTTTCTCGTTCATCCCACCTTTCTACCTCGCCGAGGTCTGCTCGAGGACCCGAAAGAGTCCCTAATTTTTTGTTATCTCGCTTTTTCTAATCCCCGATTTTCTTCGCCCTTTTCAGAGCACCTCTTCGACGTTGAAGAATTTCATTCGTCTGTCCGTCCTCTGATATAAATAATTCTCGAGCGTAAATACTGAACAAGTAGTGAAATTCAAGACTCTTTTTTGTTCCTTTTGCCACAACTTCCTGTATAAAAAGATAAATACGCGTAAAGAATAATTTTCGAAATATTAATACCGTTTTGGGAAACAATGTAATTCTAATTGTCAAATTATGTCGTAAGATTTTACAGCGGTATTTAAAAAGTCTCATTGTTTTCGAGCATCAAATACAATTACGGAAATATAATTATATCGCTCAGTAAAAATCCTTGTCCAAGCTGAAGGACACTGTGATACGAGACATGTTTTCCTAAGTAGACGGTACCTTTTGACAATTATTTCCACAGATTTATCGCCGGAGCAACGCGTGCATAATAACGACGGGGACAAGGACGGCGACGAAGGACTTTCCTTCAAAGATTACGCGAATTGCAAATCCTTGTCGTCAATTAACGGCGCAAAGGGAATGAGAGGGGAAAGAAGAAAACAGAATCGCGTTCAAGCGTTCGCGAGGGGGAAACCGCTGAGGGCATTGTGGTGTACAGATTTGCGGCATTACTGGGCATTACTAGGGCATTTTTGGGGCATTACGTCTTGCTGAGGCATTCTAAAGATAAAATAAGATAAAATAAGATAAAATAATATAAAAGAAGATAAATAAGATAAAAGAAGATAATAAGAAGTAATGCCCACTGGGCATTAGTGGGCATTGGTGTACAAGATTTTGGTCAGCGGTTTCCCCCTCGAGCGTTCGTAATCAATGGCCGTTATTTTCGCGTCTCGACTTTTCGTTTAGCGCGTTTAATGCTCCATTTGTCCCACACCGCGGGAGCTCGCGAGTGCGCGAGGCACTCGCGTTGTTACGATGCCTGCCACCGTTGCTGAACCAATTACCATCGGCCGGTGGTGCCAGAAGTGATACTTGACCGCCGAGGAAAATTGACCTTGACCTCTTTCACACGGGCGAATGAAGATCGCAGAACCAAGAAGAAGGGAAAATGTCTTGCCGAGTAAACTTCGCTAGCAAATCGAGCTACTCAAACATCTTCTAACGCCTCGCTGTAATGCTTCTAGGTATTTTTTATGGGTAATTATTTA